AACCCGCCACCTGAGGTGTATGTGGCTGGCGCCTTAGCCACTTGAGCCACAGGTGCCGAGCCAAGAACACTTTTTAAATTAAAAGATTTAAGTACCTAGCTTTTCTGTGACAGGTTTGCCGCCAGAACACAGGCATTGTGAAAATTGCCCATACAATCCAAAATGGGAAAGGAAAAGACTCTTATCAAGATGGTCATCATTGGACACATAGATGTGGGCAAATCCACCACTAGCCTTTTGATCTCTAAATGTTGTAGCACTGACAAGTGAACCATCAAAAACTTTGAGAAAACTGCTGAGATGGGGGAGGGCCCCTTCAAGTATGCCTGGGTCCTGGATAAACTCAAGGCTGAGCGTGAGCATGGTATCACCATTGATATTTCCCTGTGGAAATTTGAGAGCAGCAAATATTATGTGACTATCACTGATGCCCCAGGACACAAGAGACTTCATCAAAAACATGATTTCAGGTATATCTCAGGTTGACTATGCTGTCACCTGCTATTAGTGAATTTGAAGCTGGTATCTCAAAGAATGGGAGACCTGTGAGGGTGCCCTTCTGGCTTACATACTGGATGTGAAACAACTAATTGTTGGTGTTGACAAAATGGATTCCACTGAGCGGCCCTACAGCCAGAAGAGATACGAGGAAATTGTTAAGGAAATCTGCACTTACATTTAGAAAATTGGCTAAAACCCTGACACAGTAGCATTCGTGCCAATTTCTGGCCAGAATGGTAACAACATGTTGGAGCCAAATGCTAACAAGCCTTGGTTCAAGGGATGGAAAGTCACCCAGAAGCATGGCAATGCCAGTGGAACCATGCTGCTTTAAATGCTGGATTACATTCTGCCACCAGCTTGGCCAACTGACAAGCCCTTGCATCTGCCTCTGCAGGATGTCTACAAAATTGGTGGTATTGGTACTGCCCCTGTGAGCCAAGTGGAGACTGGTGTTCTCCAATCCAGCATGGTGGTCACCTTTGCTCCAGTTCATGTTACAACTGTAGTAAAGTCTTGAAATGTACCATGAAGCTTTGAGTGAAGCTCTTCGAGGGGACAATGAGGGCTTAAATGTCAAGAATGTGTTTGTCAAACATTGGTGCAAATGTTGCTGGCGATAGCAAAAGTGACCCACTAATATAAGCAGCTGGCTTCACTGCCCAGGTGATTATCCTGAACCATCTAGGCCAAATTAGCACTGGCTACACTCCTTTACTGGATTGTCACAAAGCTCACATTGCCTGCAAGTTTGCTGAGCTGAAGGAAAAAATTGACTGCCACTCTGGTAAGAAGCTGGATGGCCCTAAATTCCTGAAATCTGGAGATGCCACCATTGTTGATATGGTGTCTGGCAAGCCTGTATATTAAGAACTTCTTAGACTATCCTCCTCTGGGTCATTTTGCTATTCATGACATGAGACAGACAGTTACTGTGGGTGTCATAAAAGCAGTGGACAAGATGCTGCTGGAGCTGGCAGGGTCACCAAGTCTGCCCAGAAATCTTTTTTTTTTGAGACAGAGCCTCAAGCTATCCCCCTGGGTAGAATGCTGTGGCATCATAGCTC